AGTGACCTGTTGGACACTGGTAAGCACTTTGCTAAGTGCTTCACAGATATACAGTTGACCTTGAATAACGTAGGTTTGAACAGCATCGTTCCACTTATACGGACATCTACAATATCAATAAATACAATCCAGTACTGCAAATGTATTTTCTTTTCCTATGATTTTTTAATGTTTTCTTCCCTCTATTTTACTTTATTATAAGAATACTGTATATAATACATATAACATACAAAAGATGTGTTCATCGACTGTATGTTATGGATAAGGCTGCTGGTCTACAGTAGGCTATGAGTAATAAAGTTTTGGGGGAGTCAAAAGTTATACATGGATTTTTGACTATGCAAGGGGGTTGGTACCTCTACCCTCGATTTGTTGGAGGACCAGCTGTAATCTGGATAGGGGTTTACTATCGTCAAGGATAGTAAAGGATAGGGGTTTACTATCAAGGATAGGGGTTTACTATCGTCACCGTTTTATGAAATGGAAACCAAGCCCACACAGCTAATTAGTGGAAAGAATAAATTCAAATCCAGAGCTATATGACTCATGGGACAGTCCCTTTCAGCTCTTCCAGATCTCATACCCCATGGGAAATGAGGCCAGGGAAGGGTGCATGTTGAAGAAATTGGAAGCCAGGTGAAGCCTTTCATATTTGCATGGAGGAAATTAGAAGTTATTTGTTCTCAGTCCTCTTTTTCTACTGTTGCTGTACCCCCTTTGCCAAAGTCAGATTCTCAAGGAATACACACAAAATTGAGAGGACCTGACACATTTCACCTGTCCACCCACCTCCCAAATCTCCATCAGCTTTCCCACCCAAGTGAACTGCCATGGCCATTTGGAAAGAAAATTTCAGACCCATATTTTCCTCTCTCTCTTAAACCCTAAAACCTACAAGCACTCCTAAGAAAACAGTCCTCATGTTTTTTCTCACCCCACTCTTGAATTGGCCTTTTTTGGTTTTCCTAAGAGTCACAAGTACCCTCCAAATCACCCAGAGATTAGAACACTCCAGTCTTGGAGGTGGCATTTTTTTTTTTTTTGGATGGATAAGAATGAGGAATTTTTCTTACTCTCCCCTCTCTAAAGGAGGGATTTTTTTTCTTGCCCTCACAGTCCTCTCCTTCATTTCTGAGTTGGCAAATACTGCTCCTGAAGGAGATTAGAATCAGAAAGGATAAGGTGAATGTCAACCCACCTGTAGGGCCTAGAACTGAAAGTGCCACAATAAAAATAGAAATTATTATGCTCTTAAGGATCTTATCCATTTATCTACAAAGCACTTCCACAAATATCATTTCATTTAAATCTTTTTAGGGGGATCTTTAGTGTTCGATAATCTTCAATTTTATTTCTGTTTTTAAACAGCATCTAACGATTTGCAAATGTCTCTAACAGCCAAGGCTAGCCCCATGCATTCCCAGAGCCTCCCCTAGCAAGGGCCCGGGTCCAGGCTCCAGCAACTCCCGGTCACCCACACCATCAGCCCTATTTTCTCTCCAGAATCTCTTGTAGTACTTAGGCATTAATGTTGAATTGTTTTTTCCCTTCTTTCTTTTAACATGTGAGGAACATGAGGCGCATAAAAAGAAGGTGTCTCCCTATGATTAGAGAGGTAAAATTGGGACCTAAACCATCTGAGCCCAAAATCTGGGTTCTGTGTTCTCTGCATATACACCCAGGTGAGCTGCTTTGGACACAGGTATCAGACAGGAAAGCTCAGTGATTACTCCCTATGGTGTCATCCTCCAGGATGGGAGAGATTTATCCTAATAATTTTCAGTTCATTTTCTTTTTTTTTTTTTAAAGATTTATTTACTTATGCTAACAAGAACTGGGGTATAAGCCAGAGGTGCGGGGGTGAGAGGATTCACCAGAGATAGAGTGGGGAGCAGAACAGGCAGATGTACTGAAATACATTGCTGAGGGGAGCAGCGGGCGAGGAGGAGAGGTCTGCTGCCCCATGTGGTTTGCTCCCTGGCCAACCAGGATTGAAATTATGCTGCAGTGGCTGGTGATAGCTTGATAGCACTGTCTTTAACTCCTGCACTACCAGGGAGGCCCTGAGTTCATTTTCTAATCTCCTGTAAAACTATCCTCCAATAATATAAGTCTTTCTTATAGAACATTTGTTTTTGGTCCCAGCCAACTTTGAAAGTAGCAAGTTCTGTATTTATACCATCGCTGTGCAAAGAAGTTCTATTTTCACTTTGCCCTAAAACTATTTATTTATAATAATAAAGTTGGTCCTAGTTTCTGTGCTGCAGATAAATTCATATGTTTATCCTGTGATTTTCACTATTGTATAAATTCCAATCATATTCCCCTCTCAACCTTGTCTTGCTGGCACAGTCCTAATTGTTTTATCATCCCTCAGAAAGAACTCTCTCTACTGTCTGCATTCATTTAGGCTTCCTTCTCTAGACCTTCCCTGGCTCTGTGTGCCTCTGGGGTACATCAGGTCATCAGGTCCCATCACTTTATTCATTTTTATGAAATAACACAACGACCTCAACTAAAATAAAATGTAAAAATATTTTATTTAAAAATCAAACAATTCTTTTGCACTAAGTCAACCCAGCATATGCTGAAAAAATAAACATTTTTGCTTCAACTCTGAAATGAATTTGAACATGCTGGCACTAGGCAACCTTGTCATCTATTATGAAAATGACAATTTGCAAGGCAATTTCACATACATTATCTCATTTGACCCTCACATGAACCATGCAAGGTAGAAAAAGCAAATTATTATCTTCTTTTTTCACTTGAGAAAAGTAAAATGATGAGTTTAGGCCAAGGTCAAACAGCTGGAATTAGACCCCAGTCCCTGGCCCTCCAGAGAGAGGAGGGTGTTTCATTACCCTCTGCACCATACAGCCTTCCTTAGAACGCATGTGATGGACAGCTCAGTTGTGAAGTATTTATAGTTCTATTGAAAGGAAAGATGTTTGAGGCTAGTTCAGACCCTCTTCCCTTCTCATGCTCCCCGTGGGCAATCTCAGGCACCTCACAAGTATCAGTAACTCCCAGATTTATGTCTCGAGGCCCCATCTCTTTTCTGAGCATCAGGCAAGTATGTAAAATCACACACTTGACATCTCCTGCTGTCTTAAAATGTGCAAAGTTTCATCTTCTGCTCTCACCATATCTCTTGCACTGGGAAAACACAATTCTCTTTGGACATTCCTCTTCTTAAATATCACCAGGAACCTAGGAGTCATCTTGACATTTCCCTCTTTCTCCCCAACTCCACCCCTATATCCAATGTAACACCAAATCCTTTTACTTTTACTTCCTGCACAGCTCTTCATTCTATTTCTCTCCCTCCCCATCATCACCATCTCTGTCTAACAGCTCTTATCTCTCACTTGGACATTCAAGGACTCCTACTTGGTCTATTCCTCTCCAGACATTTCTCCCCACTACAGCTGGAGGGATTCTTTCAGCCGGTCTGGTCATGCCACCCCCCACCCCCACTTCTAGTTACAACACATCAATGCTTTTAGGGTAAGGCAAACTCCTATAACTGGCCACAAGCCCCCAACTAATCTGGCCCTTTCTCCAGCCTCCTCTCCAACATCTGCCTGCATATCCCACCCCCACAGACTTCTTTCAGCCCCTTTTGCCAAGCATTCATTTGCTACAGGGTCCTAGAATATTCTCCCCTTCTTCCCTGCCTATGTAAATTCCTAAAATTAAATTTCAAGAAACCTCCCTCTTCAGTTAGAGATTCAAGGAACTTTCCTCAAAGAAACCATTATTGACCAACCTGAATTCAATACCCCCATTTTACTTTATACAGCACTGGTTTGGCATGGTTTTGTATATTAATTAATGACCATTTTACAAAAGATTTGTAAACTTTTGTTTACCATAATATTCCCTATGCTGTGCTGAGCTTAGCATATAGTGGCACATCAAACAATTATTTATTGTTCAATAAATTAACAAGTTTGTGGATAAGAAAATAGTCTTATATGATATAAATCCTACTCATGGAATACCTAAGCAGCTGGTTTTTTTTTTAAGAATGAGATAACTCGATGCTCAGTAACATGAATGCTGCCCATGACACACAGCACTGAATAAACACAGTACATCACAGAACAGTATGCACACCATAGTGTGCAGTCATTCTCAAAACTTATTTCTTTTTTTTAAACTGCGTATATATGTGTTTTCAAAGGTGTATAAGACTAACACCAATTACTTACAGTGGCTTCCCTGAAGAATAAGAATGACACAAGATAGAGAAAAACAGGTTCATAATCTCTACTCACAAACTTCTTGCTGGTTTGACTTTTAATGAACAGGTGGTATTGTTGTGACATCATTTTGAAAATAATGATGCAATTCACCAAAGTGCAATAAATGAACCATCTCAAAATACAACCAAAAAGGGGGAAAAACCACTTTGTTATGATTCTTCAACAATGAAAATGTTCCAGAAACCAGCATCTTTCTAATTCAGACCGTCTATCTAGCAAGAAGCTATGACAAAGAAGGGAAATGGAATAGACATGCCAGCATTTGTTGGTTTAATTAGGTCTTCCCCTCATGTGACTTTTGTAAAAAACATTTTAGTCATTTTTATAGCCATTAAATATTCATTTATACAATTTAGAAGAAATAAAAGTGTGAATTTTCTTAGCTAGATTTTTTTTTTTGTAAAGTAAAAGTGATAATGCAAATACACCTTTATTTTCCTTTAGTTGGCAAGTAGCAAATCTTTTGTTGTCTTTACCATAGCTCAGAGAGAAAAGATAGCTTTCTAAAGCCACACAGATTATAGTGGAAGGAACAGGGACAAATACACTGATGATATGTAGACAACATTATTCCACAGTGAAAAGCACAAAACCTTACTTTTGGCTGTTAAGTGTGTGCAGGTGGACAGACCCGCAGTTACTGAAAACGGAGAGGTAGGTGTGTGGGCGTGATTTTTCAGCAGCCAGCCTACTGGAAAAAGCTGGGAAAATTCTGTGAATATAGAATAAACGCTGTCACTTGGAACTGCATTGATTTCTTTTTTCAGACCAACTAATGGCTCAGATGGTAGAACAACCAAACGATGACTAAAATATGAGTCAAATGCTTTCAAATCAAAGCATTCCAATGAAGCAGGAACACAGGCGAGCAGAGAACAGGTCATTAGGGGTTCCAACCAATTCTCATTAAGCCTGAAGAAACTCACTCTCCTTAATGACTGCTTCTTTCCATCTAAGTCACTTTGGCATGGTGACCTGGCGACAATCTTTACCACTAGTGACACCTACTGATCAACTCCGCAGAGTGGAAAGGTTGTCCCAGTCCAGACTTGGCCTCCTTCCTTCCTGGATCTAGCCAGCAAATCTTCAATTATCCCAAAGGGTGTCAGAAATCCTAAGATGAGCCTCAAAGTTAGTGTCTTGTTGTTTTTGAAAGGCAACTTTCATTTACATACAAAAATAGCTCACACTTGGAAGAAGTCAGGTGGGGAGTGGGCAGGTGAGGAGAAGCATACTGGACACATAGGCCCCAGGAAGTTAAAAATGTGGCAACTGGGCAAAGCAGAGGCAGCGGCATGTGCTCTGGCCCTCAGGCAAATACCACATGGGCCCATCACATGTGGGTGGTTTTTCTGACATCTCTCCCCTCTCCCTTCCTTCTGCTAGTTTCTCAGTTTCAAATTCTTCCTGAAAATGTTCACTCCCTGTTTTACAATTCAATTCTTCCAGAAGCTTACTTGGTGAGGAGCCTCTGAGAAGACAGGTATGTTCAAAAGATCGGAGGTACCTAGCTAGAAAACAAAGCCTCTCACCACAGTTATTGGAATAGGACTGCAAGAATAAAATCTGATACCCTTTTCTCCTTTAGTTGAGTACTCAGATGTCTGTCTGTCTGTCAGATGTCTGTCTGTTTCATCCCCACCCAACCCTCCTCCTTGTTAGTTTCCGGCAGCATGTACAGGAGACCTCCCCCCACAGACCAGGGCTCACACGGAGCCTGGAGCTCTCACAGTAGGCATTTGACTAATACTCTGTTCTCGTCTCTGAAGGGATTCACTAAGATGTGAGGATAATAGATTCTTATTTTTTAAAACATTTTTGTGATAAAATATACATAACATAAAATTGACCATTTCAACCATTTTTAAGGGTCCAGTTCAGTGGCATTTAAGTATATTCATATTGTTTTGCAAATATAATTACCCTCTATCACTACAACTTTTCACCTTCCAAAACTAAAACTCTGAACCATTAAATAATAACTCCCCATTTTTGCCTTCCCTGGCCCCCAGCAGCCACCATCTTAGGCTCTGTGAATTTAACTTCTCCAGGAATCTCATATAAGTGGAATCATACAATATTTGTCCTGTCATGTTCGACTTGTTTCATTCAGCATAATGTCGTCAAGTGCCATCCATGCTGTTGCATATGTCAAATTGCCATTTCTTCTGAAGGCTGAACAGTATTCCACTGTATATGTACACCATATTTTATCTGTGCATCAATCTACGGATATCTGAATTCCTTCCAGGGTAACATATTCTTTACTGACTCTCACAATTTAATACTTGCAGATAATTCAATTTCAATTCGATTTATTGATTATTTACCAAGGGTAAGTCACTTTGTTAGGCATAATGGGCAGTACAAAGATGAATCAGGCATGGTACCCACTCTCAAGGGGATAAAAAGAGGAGAGAAAGAAGAGAACATAACTAGTGTTTGTTAATTGTTTAGCATGTGCCAGGTGCTTTGCCCAAGGACAACCTTTATGGTAAGAAGACAGCTGAGACATCTTAAATAACCATCTCCAAGTAGTGAGACTGGGATTCAAACCCCTATCTTGGATTCTAAACCCTTTATTGATGCCACCAGACATGCTGCTCCCTATGATGCAAGGCAGACTATGACGTAGCCTTGGGAGGAAGCTATAGGAAGGAAGAGGGGGAGAGTAGAGATGACCCTCCTCCTTCAAGGAAAGGCTTGTGGCAGAGGTATATCTTGGAGGTCAGGAAGGCTTATGTTTGGCAAAGATAAGGGAGTAGAGAAAACAGCCTGAGCAGAGCAAGGAGAGGAGGTGGAGGAGACAGGAAACCTAAGAGTACACTTGGGTACAGGTGGCACTGTGGAACACAAGGCTGGGAAGCAGATGGGGGTAAAATCAAGGTCATAACAAAAAGCTAGTTCAAGGAGTCTATACTCCAACAGGCAACGGAGATCTGTAGCAGGTTTTTTGAAATGAGACATAGCTATAATTGTGCTTTGGGAAGGTCACCATGGCAATAATGTAAAATAAGAATGGAGGGGGTAGGGATAATTGAAAGGTAGGAAAGCCAGTCAGGACGTCATTGGAAATAGTAGATGAGACATAATTAGTCAGGATGGGAAAATGATATGGAATGAGAATTAGCTTTTGGTGAGGATAATAGAATTTGGTGATTAATGTATTATGAACTGCATGATAATAGAGCCTAGTTGGCCAAGGCTGTTTTCCTAGTGTGATTATTAATAGCACCTTTTCATTCTCAAACAGGTCCAAGTTTGGACAAGAAATTATGAGCAAAAAGAAAAGAGAATCAAAAGATGACAATAACAGATTTTGAATGTGGATTAATAAAGGAAGGTAGTAACACCTTAAAAACAGAGGAGGGAAGTCAGATTTCTTGAAAAGATGAAAATCTTAATTTGGACATGCTGAGTTTTCCATGGAGGTGAGGACTTATTTAAGAGAGATAAGCACCTTGCCCGTGGATTTGCGCTGTATCACGTGAAAGAAAGCCTCATTGACCTAAAAAAAAATCCAAAATTTGTGGTCAGACTTGCATACATGCATATTTCAACAAATATCTATTGCTGGTTCAATTCTTAAAATAGCTAAAGGACTGTAATATGTCTCCCATGAGCAATATATAGTTCACTGTGCAGTGCCAACTAACTAACTAACCACCAAAAGAATGAAAGAAAAACAGATATCCCAACCTCAGATTTTTTTCTCTCTAAAAAAAGGTTTTTTGATATTTTCAGATAAATTATAGCAGTAAAATGTCCTCAGGCCTGTTCATAATCTATTGTAATATTTCTGTGTCCTAACATTTTTAATTTTTATATATTTATATAGACATTTTTTACATCACTGTTCATTTTTGTACAATGTTTGCTTTCTCCTCTCAGGTATAGTTCCCATAGAATCCTACCACCATTCACCCGTGCACCATCACCACAGTCCCCTGTGCTTTTCCCTCCCCTGTTCTGATTCCTTCCCTTCCCCCTCCCCCACAAAATGCCCCTGATTTATAGCTGCCTGTTAATTTTGGCTTTTATTTATGTATTGTTATTTTTCCACTGATCCCTTATTTGTTCCCCTATATTCCTCCTATATGTGAAACCACCCGATATTTTTCTTTTTCCTTCTGACTTGTGCCCTAATTTTTTGAAAGCGTTGAGCCACTGCCAGAAGAGTTAATATCACAATTTTTACAATGTTTATCTTTTTATTAAAATTGTCCTGTTTCTAATCATGATTAAAACTATAATCCAGTTCAAATCCTTTTTTTAGAAATTCAAGGTTAGAGAGCATAAATTAAAAAGTACAGAGTAATCAAGACAATGTGATATTCGTGAAAGAACAAATTGATAAAAAGAATCAGAGAGCCTAAAAATACAAAAACAGAGTCAACTGATTTGACAAAGTAGTAAAGACAATTCAATGGAGAAATGAGTCTTTTCAAGAAATGGTGCTTGAACAAATGGACAACCACATGCAAAAAGTAAATCAAAACACCGTCATTACATCTTACACAAAAACTAATTCAAAATGGATATGGGAAGAACTTTTACCTAAAATAGACAAGGAATTCTAAAAATTCAACAATAAGAAAACAACCTAATTAAAAAACAGCTAAAAATCCGATAGACATTTCACAACAGAAGATTTATAGATATCAAATAAGCACATGAAATGATGTTCAACATCTTATGTCATTAGAGATTTGCAAATTAAAACGGTAATATAGGGCCTCCCTGGTGGCGCAGCGGTTGAGTGCTGGGTTGCGAAGCTGCCCGCGACCTCTGCGGCGCGGGTTGGATCCCCGGCTGCTCCCTGGCCACGGGAGGAGGGTCCCACATGGCGCGCAGACCTCTCCTGCCGCCCGCTGCTCCCCTCAGCAGTGTACTTCGGTCCTTCTGCCTGCTCTGCTCCCCGCTCTGGCTCTGGTGAATTCTCTCACCCTCCCGTGCTTCTGACTGTGCCCAGTGCATGTATAAACAAAAACAAACAAACAAACAAATAAATAAATAAAGCATGCCTCTATAAAAAACAAAAACAAAAAAAAAACGGTAATATATTACTATACACCTATTATGATGCCTAAAATCCTAAAACTGATACCACCACCAGAATGTGGAGCAACATTATTCTCATTCCTTGCTGGATGAAATAAAAAAGGTACACTCGCCCCCCCACCCCGACTCCAGTGGTGCAGTGGGTTGAGCACAGTCCTGTGAAGCTGTCCGCAATCTCTGCAGCGCAGGTTCGATTCCCTGCTGGCCAGGGAGATACCAACAAGGCACGGCAGAGCTCTCCTGTCACACCTGCTGCTCCCCTCAGCAGCGTCTTCCGTCATTCTGCCTGTTCTGCTCCCCACTCTATCTCTGGTGAATTCTCTCTCCTTCCCGAGCCTCTGACCTGTACCCCAGTTCTTGTATAAATAAATAAAATCTTTTTAAAAAATTTTAAAAATTGGGCCTCCCCTGGTGGCACAGCGGTTGAGCGCTGGGCTGCAAGGCTGCCCGCAGGCTCTGCAGCACCAGTTCATTCCCCACAAAAAAAATAAAATAAAAAATTATTTAAAAAGGTACAATCACTTTGGCAGACAGTCTGGCAGTTTCTTACGAAACTAAAGATAGACTTGCCCCATGATCCAGCAGTCATGTTCCTAGATATTTGCCTAAATGAGATGAAAACTCACATCTATGTACCAATACTTAAAATGTGCGAGCAATCAAACTCTCCCTGAACAGATGAATGGGTAAACTGTAGTTCATCCAGATAATGTAATATTATTCACTGATAAGGAAATGAGTGGTCAAGTCACAAAAAGACATGGAGGAAACAAATTGCTAAGTGAAAGAAGCCAGTCTGAAAAGGCTACACACTGGAAAAGGCAAAACCCTACAGATAATAAAAAGATCAGTGGCTCCCAGGGGCTGGGGTAGGAGAAGGGTAGGGTAAATATATGGAACCCAAGGAATATTTTAGAGCATGAAGCTATACTGTATGATACCATAATGGTGGTTACATGACATTATTCCATTAGCAAAACCTATAGAGCTGGACAACACAAAGAATGAATCCTAATGTAAACTATGGACTTTAGTTAATAATAATGCATCAATATCAGTTTATCAACTGTAGCAAATGTAACACACTAATGCAAGATGTTAGTAAGAGTGGAAACTGGGGGACTCCCTGGTGGCACAAGGGATTAAGCACAGCACTATGAAGCTATCCGCAGCCTCTGCAACACAAGTTCGATCCCGGCCAGGGAGCTACCAACATCACATGGCAGAACTCTTTTGTTTTGCCCACTGCTCCCCTCAGTGGGTCTGCCTATTTCAGTCAGTCTGCCTGATCTGTTCCCCGCTCTGTCTCTGGTGAATCCTCTCCTCTCCCCAACACCTCTGCCCTATACCCTAGCTCTTGTATGCATAAATAAATAAATCTTAAAAAAAAAAAGAGTGGAAACTGGGAGGTGGGTGGGGAAGGGAATGATGAGAACTCTATACTTTCTGATGATTTTTTTCAGTAAACCCAAAACAAATTTAAAATAAAGTATATTAACTGTTTGATTACTTTAATTAATGATATAATATGTAGTTATAGTATATAATTAGTAAATTAATTATATTGTTTGAAATAAAATAAGCAATAACTGCAAAAAATTGAAATAAGAAAACAAGAATGGAAGAACATAAAAATAGTTATTATATTTGGACAATATAATAATCTATATTGAAAAACCAAAGTGACAGACAAAAAAGGTAAGCATAATTGTTAGATACGAGATTAGTTTACAAAAATTACTGACATTTCTTTATATCAGAAATAATCAACTAGGAAAAGAAATAAAATATATAAAACAGTAAAGTACTTACAAATAACATAACTAAGAATAATCCACAAGACTTTATGAGGAATAACTTTAAACTCTATTAAAATACATGAAAGATCAAAAAAAAAATGGCAGTATCTGTGTTCGCAAATGAGAGAACTCAATAATGGTCAAAGATCAACATGCCCCTAAAGTAACCTATAAAGTCAATGCAATTCCATTAAAAATATCAGTCAGATTATTTTTGAGGAACTCAACAAATTTGTGCTGAGATTTGGTCCAAGGGAGAAATGTTGACAAAGCTAAGACAAATTTGAAAAAGAATAAAATTAGAAGGATTATCCTTCCAGATATTAAAACACACCTGAAAGCTCTAAACATAAAAACAGTATGATACAATTTCAGGAATAGATATGTGAATCAAGGGAATAGAAGAGAAAGCAAAGAACTTGAAATATGATGAAGGTTTCCCACTCCACAAATGAATGGAGAAACAATAAACTATTTGGTCTGGGGAAACTAGCTCATTATAAGGAGAAAAATAAAAATCAGTTATGTAATTTGTGCCCAAAATAAAGAATAAAGTTAGTAGAAAAAACTTAGAGAAGAAAGTTATTATAACCCAGGGTTGACAAAGGACTCCTTAAATATGTTCTAGATATCATTAACCATAGGCAAAATATCAGTGTGTTTGATTGCATTAAATCTAGACAAAGGTGACAGATGCATGGCAAATTTGGAAGCACAGACTTTTGCAAAATCTCAAAATAACCCTTAAAACCTTGGTACTGACAGGGTAGTTCAAGGACCACAGGTTCCTGCACCAAACCATCAACTGGGAACTTATTAACAATACTCAATCTTGAGTCCAATTCCACTTAATGAATCATAAACTGCATCTTAACAAGACCTCCAGGTGATTCATATGCACATTAAAACTTGAGGACTATGAATTACATGTAGAACCTCTGCAAATTGGTAAGAAAAATACCGGAAGCCCCACAGAGAACTGTACAAAGGGCTTAAATTGCAATTCAATGAATGGGAAAGCTTAAGGTTAGGAAATATATAAAGAGATGCTTAAATAAACTAAAAATCAGGAGGAATACAAATTAAAACAATCAGATTCCTCTTTAAGCCTATTAGTTTTAGAAATTAGGAAAGTGGTTAATGTTACATATCAACAGGGCAACAAATAATAATTCTTGCCCATTGCTCTTAGGGGCATATGCTGGTCAGGTCATTCAGTAGAGCATTTGGCAGTCAAATTAAGTGTACATACTTGCTGTGACCCAAGAATCCTACTCCTAGGAAAATACCCCCAAAGCAACACTGGCACAAGCCCCTACGGTTACCTACAGGGGATTAAGTGGACCTTGAAATTTATTACTAGGAAATTAGGGTAAGTGAAGATTGCTCAAGCTTTTGCAGTATTGACTATGGTGGCCATCACCTGCAGCCTTGAATGCAGGAGGTGCTTATGAGCGTGGGCTCAGGGTACGCATGCCTGATGGACACCTGGAGCATGGTGTGGGCATGCGTAAGTGAGCACACCCGAGCCGAGAGACGGGCTTTAAGGGCAGCATCACAGAGGATGGTGCAACAGAGGACTGTGTGGTGGAATGTGGTGGAGTATAGTATAGAGCCGTGGCTAACAGCTATGAGAGGAAAGGGCAGA